TATCTCCCCTGCCCCCACCAGTTTTGAAATTTAGATTTTTCTCTGCTGGTTTTGCCACTAATGAACCAGTTCCCTGTGTATGACCCATTGTCCCCTAAATCCTCCTTTGCAAACCAATAGAGGGCAGGTCTTGTTTGTTTCTAAGCAGAATAGTAGTACCAATCTGCCAGTCTCCTAACACACACCATTCCATTTTAATCCCTGCAGCTACTCTGTGAGAGCCCCATTTTACATGCACAGAGCCCAGAGCTCATAGGCTCTGGTTGCTAGCCTTAGTCTGCAGGTCAGTGGGGTGTAGCGACCCAGGTTCTAAGGTTTGACCCCCTGGGGTTGACTTGTGATATTCATGAGAAAAAAATGATATTTTATATCTGAAATACACAACAAAGCAAGGAAGCTTTTCCTCTCAGGAGACACTGAACTTTTGTGAGACCAATTTGTGTAGGTTTGACACAGAATCACTATAGAGCTCTAGCCATGTTGAAATTTGCATTTTAATCTCTTGGTGATTTTTCAAGGATTAATTTAAAATGACTAAATTGCTGCATTGCAAATTGAAACAAGCAATAACCACGGGGTTGTTAATGTGATACAGTCTGCTGTCATGGAAAGAACATGAGTTTCAGAGATAGCCAGACACAGGGCCCCACGAGCCTGGGCCCTTGGGTTCTTGTTTTCTTGGAACCTCAGCATTCCTATCTAATAGTAAACAGAAACATGAAGAGCAAAAGAAGTCTTGAAATGTTCAGTTCCAAGGACAGTGCTGAGTGCCACCAGAGCCTTTTCACTTCTTCTAGTTTCCTGGGTGTTATAGTTCTGAACTCCTTGAGCTCTCAGTGTGACCGCGAGCTGAGGAACATGATTCCTTGTGGCTTGTCCTTTCTGAATGTTAGCTGACTTTCTTAGTTGTACAAATTAATGCCCATCCTTTTCGTGGGATATGTTTCTCATGGAGCCACAAAAGGTGCTTGGTGATCTCTGTCATCACTGGTGTGGTGAGTGGAGTGCAGGGGCACAGTGCTTGTCATGGAAAGGTCAATCTAAATTTAAGAAAGTAAGCCACTGAAGGACGCATGGCCTTTGGGACATGGAACCTAGCAGCATTCTGTTTTTCTGACATCAGAGAAGGGTTAATATAAAGAAGGAAGAGCTAGTATTTGTTTATTGCCTGCTATGGCTCAGACCAAGGACCATTTGCTACATCCTAAGTTCTTACACTAGCCAGTGATATGGTTATTAGCCCCTCTGAAAAAGAAAGGAGACCCAGAGTTGTAAATTCACTTATCCAGCTAAAACTAGAATTTACATGTGGGTGAGTCTGACTCCAGTGCGGAGATGCTTCTGGGTCCTGGCTCCAGTGCCACCTGTACTCCCCTATGAGACCATTAGTGTAAGCAGTATGATTGATTGCATGGATAGCTGGTTAATACCACCTCTCCTTTAAGGATAGAGGATTAGTACCTGGAGCTTATAGTTGCTTGACATAAAACTATATGCTATTAATGACTGATTGGATGGATGAATGAATGAATGAACTAACGAAGCGCCGGCCCTGGGTGAGGGAAAGGAATGGCTCCTTACAGCTGGCTTTTGCACCAATTTGTCTACAAGTTGTTAAGGAAAAGCAAACGTGCAAAATTAATTCTTTCCACTTTCGGCTCCTTGTTGAAGTTAATTCTCATTATTTCTCCAATTTCTTCGTAAAAATATTTTCTTGCTTTTCACACAAAAATATGGTTACTATATAATTTCTCATCAGAGTTTTTTGTGTCTATCTTGATAACACATATAGGAGTAAATTTTATGCAGTCAGTAATTAAATGAGTATAAATCTTTATAAATTTTAAACAGGTGACCTGCATTTAAGAAAAAGTCACAGATCATGAGCAGATGTGTAGTAATAATTATGTTGTAAGCTGGCTGCATAAGATATATTTTTGTTTTACACCCAGGTTTTGAGGTTTACTTTTGATTAATGGATAATCATATAGGCCTTAATTTGAAATATTAAACAAACCTGTCTTAATTATCTGGTCAGTGTCATACCAAGTGGTTAATGATGCAAAAAAAGTGTTTAGCTGGGTGGTTAAATGCGACATTGCCCAGACTCTACTTGTCAAAAGATGCTCCATGGTATAGAAAAGATTTATGAAGTAAGTCATCATGACTTTCAAAAACAAACAAAGTTGAAATGGTACAAGAGGGCCTATTATCAAGTACTAAGATTGTTCCTATGAGTTGTCAGATAATTGTTTATTCTAATGGTCTTTTACTTCGCACAGAGGGATAAAGCTGACCTCAGGGACTCTGCTTTCTTTCCTGTGATACGCTTCTCTCATTTGACTGCTCAAATGAGTTTGGATTTGGGGGGGCGGGGGATGCAGATTATTTTAGAACCCCAAATCTGTAATCCCTTTTAAGAATCTGGTTCCACTGAGGTAACTTAAATCCTTTAAAAAAATGACTTAAGGATTTAAAGTGTTCTTCCTATTAAAAAGTTAGGCATCGTGTTGCCACAGCACACCTGGATACTTAGCTACTCAGAGCTCTCAGTCAAGAGAGTGCCTGAAGCTCAATATCTGGGACCAGTTTGGGCAATGTAGCAAGACCCTGTCTCTCTTTATAAAGAAAAAAATCATATTCTAAAACATTTGAGTAAGAGTTATTTTAGGACCTGAGACCCGTTGACATAACCAAACCTCTGGCCTGGGAAGCTGCCTCTGGAACGGGTACAGTGAGTCTTTATTCTTGTACCCTGCTGGAGAGTCTCAAAAACTAATCAAATGACAGACTGGCGCAGAATAGCATCTGCTTTGAAGGCTCCAAGGAGTACTCAGCTTAGAGGCAGTTCTTTAGTTTGAGGATTATCTTATTTCCCTATGGTATTGAACCTAAGACGCTTTCTCTCTAAGCCACACGATATCCCCTCCTGGGCCTAACCCATTCCAGCCCCACCCCTGACTTCCACCTGCTTCATAACCTCAGGCACTGATCACAGTGAGTGTGAAGTCCCTAGCCACCTAGGCTGGTGCTGGAGCCAACAGGGAACAAGGAAGGAATGGCTATTAGGAGGTGCTCCTCAGGAGCATGGCCTTTGCCAGGTGCTGCTCCCCTCTTTGTCTGGATTGAGACTTTCACCAGCATTTTTTTTTTTTGTGGAGATGACAAATGGAAGCTAAGTTCAAGAACTTGCTGCAGCATATACCTCCTCTGAAATTCACCTTCCATGCTGTGCTGTCTGGAGTCCTCCTTAGATTTGATTTCTGGCCAGACTGGAAAATGGGCACCTTCATATCCCTGCTGTCCAGCCCTACAAGGGATGGGTGAGGTGGAGGGTGTGTAATAAAATCCAAGCAAGGAAAGGAGTGTCCTTAAGCTTAGAATCACACTGGCACTACATAAACTAAGACCAGAGCCCAGAAACAGTCTTCTAAGCAAGGTTCTCCTTTCCTGGCATGTGAATTACCTAGCAGTAACTGGCAGAGGATGACGGGGTGGGTACTCAGGCTTAGCTGTGATGGGGTTGCAATGATCCAAGATCCAAAGCTGAGGAACAGGCAGCAGAAATGCCATGTTCAACAGGAATGGTGGTTGTTGAGGAGGATTGACACTCTGTTAAACAGACACTGTTTGGATAAACAGAAGATGTGGTGCACAGAACCTTGCAGTGGCTATAGACCCAGAGAGCCTTTCTTCTCCCTTCTCCAAATCTAATTCTTTGTCAAGTCCTGAGGTTAAGAGTGTTTTTCACATGTATCCCTAAAGCTTTCTTCTGAATTGTTTACACATTTGGATCCTCCCCTCTGGCCCCAGAATATGGCAGTAACCAGTTAAGTGGTTAATAGGATCTCCCATCCTCCATGGGCTTTGGGGAGGTCATTTTAAAATTTTTGTTTTACATGTGTAGCTGTTTTGTCTGTCTGTATGTCTGTGTAGGGTGTGTGTGTGTGTGTGTGTGTGTGTGTGTGTGTGTGTGTGTGTGTGTGTTGTCCACAGAAGCCAGAAAAGGCTGTCAGATCCTCTGAAACTGGAGTTACAGACAGTTGTGAGCTGTCATGTGGATGCTGGGAATTGAACCTGGATCCTCTGGAAGAGTATCCAGACCTCTTAACTGCTGAGCCAGCTCTCCAGTCTCAAGGAGATCTTTATGAAACACAAATGTGATCCTGACTTCTTTTCTGTGGGCCCTTTACCAGCACTAAGTCACTGGTCACCTCATCTGACTCATACCCTGATATTCTATCAGGTGCTGTTTTGCTTTCTGATATGCCACACTGTCTGTTGGACCATTCTCCTGTGCTTGGCTCACACCAGAGCCAAGGGACAGGTAGTCTTCAGCTACTTGTTTTCTCTACACGTAGGTTTATTCTTTCAACAAACTGCTAGGTATTAGGATTTGTGATTTACTCAAAGGTACTCAGCCTAGTAGAAAAACAAACTTAAATCTGAGTCCCTATTAGATAGGGACAAATTGCCATGGAAACACAAAGGAATGTTTGGCAGTGGAGTCCAAGAACTCTTCCAGGAGGAGGTGACACTGGGCTGGGTCTTGTCAAATAAATGAACATGTTTAGAGCAGAGAAGAATATTCTGGGAGGAAGTAAAGGCCTGGGGATGGGAAATGGCAGGGCAAGTCTGAGAAGTTGAGGTTTACCATGGAGCTCAAGCTATTGGACACTTAACAGCAAGAGGGAGCTCCCTGTCTCCAAGGAGCTTTCTCTGAGCCCAAGCTTGGCAGGAACTAAGAGTGAACCAGAGCCCCTCTGCCCTGCAGGTGCTCCCCATCCAAGAAGTTCCAGGGTTGGGGCAGTTGGCACTCCCTCCCACTCTGGCGGGTGGCGTCCCAGAAGGAAAGAGGCAGGGAGGAAGCAGATAAGAAAGACAGCTTCTGTTTAGACACAAATATCTTGGTGATCAGCACAGATGGGATGAGAAATACCAAAAAAAGTACATGACAGTTTAGAAAGAATTTGGCTAAATGTTACATATTTTTAACATACCTGTGTAGAGTTTTTGGATCAAGCACCTGAGTCACTCCGATCTTGACTGGGAATGGGGGTCTGCCTCAGTCAAATGGTGTCTTATTTCAGAAATACACCCTTCCCCCTCCACAAAAGTATCCTTGTGATTTTTTTTCTCCCACCAAAATAAGGCACAGGATTTGTCTCTGACGCTGTGTCTCCCTATTTGGACGGCAAGCTGTGTAACATATTTCTCCTCAGCGTGAAGCTTCTTGGCAGACTCTTGAGGCCACGTTTTGGTGGCTTCAGAGTTATCTTTGGATCTGTCAAAAGTGCTAATGGGCTTTCTGGCCTTCTTTAAGCTCCTCATTTCTATTTTCTTGTTACTTCCATCCTTTTCTAAAAGAAAAATTGGTATAATTCATCAGCAGTTAAGCTCTTTCTGAAACGCTCAGCTGAGGGCCTCCTGTTGGTTTGTGACAGGGCTCTGCCGTGTCACTGTCTCCAGCACAAGCCCCACCCTGACATCATTAGCTCAGCGCTCCTCAGTCCACTGGGCAGGGACGTGCTTCTTCCCCACTCCATCCACCCTAGTGCTCCTTTTTATTTTTCCGTGGAATTTGTTAGGAGGCAGGCTGGTATGGCAGTTAACAGATAAGCTTCAGATTCCAGAGACCTGCTCTTGGCTCTGCCCTTTTCTAACTGGGTGATCTTTAGAAGCAGCTGGTGCTTTCTAAGCTGTAGTTTCTCCATGTAGACACGGCAGTGTCTGCCTAAAGGTTATTAGGAATACAAAGAACACAGATAAAGCACACTTGGCCTAGTATATAAGGATTCCTCTATAAATAGGGCAACAATTTGCTCTTGTTTCCCCTACACTCAATATTTTGTTGAATATAATATTTTAACTTACACTTTAAAGTGTTATATTTTTAAACCCTAGACTGAATAGTCTGTTGTCCACTTATCATGTGACCTTTGTCACATTATATCACTTTTCTGTGCCTCTGTTTTACATCTTTAAATAGAGAAAATGACATCTAGTTCAAGGAATGGATTTAAAGTTAAGCAAGGTAACCTGTGTAAAGCCTTGGTAGAAAGTGAGTGAACACCAGGCAGTGGTGGTGCATGCCTTTAATCCCAGCACTCGGGAGGCAGACAGGCAAGCGGATCTTTGTGAGTTCGAGGCCAGTCTGGTCTACAGAGCGAGATCCAGGAAAGGCACAAAAGCTACACAGAGAAACCCTGTCTCGGAAAAAAAAAAAAAAAAAAAAAAGAAAAAAAAGAAAAAGAAAGTGAGTGAGTGAACAATATCTAGGAGGCACAATGTAGGGAGTAGTCAGTGTATAGAATCAATCCACTTGCCCTTTATTTGTGAACTTTGATGGTTAGCCTAATACTCTGGTCAAACAGTAATAAATCATGAGATTAATGCCTGTTCTTGTTTATCTTCAGCCATAATATTGTTGAAAAGCACTTTATGCCATTTTGCATATAAAATCTGCTAGTTTACTTAAATTATGTGTTGTAGATTTTTAATCATGATAAACTGCTACTTGTGGCAACAGCATTCCATACCTCCTTTCATTTCCTGAGAGTTATATTGAACAGCATTGAAAACCTGTAACGTTGAAGAAATTAGCATATTCCTGTATATTATTAATGTCAGGTGGACGTAGAAAGAGTTGTAGAAATGAAAAGCTCTCCATTTCCCTGCTGAAATTTGAAGAGTCCCAATCCATAATGCTAATTAAAAGAATGAAACCCTGTAGCATGAATCTTAAAAGGTCTTATTAATAAAAAACAAACCTGGAGCTAGGTATTGGGATGAATGCTGGAAGATCAGAGAAGCAGAACAAGCTACAGCTTCCTCACCTCACCAATTCCTCAGCTGATCCTGTTTCCTCAGACTGGAAGCCTCTGAGTCCTCATCCAAAATGAATCTCAGCTGAACTGCTGCTCAAAAGCCTAAAAGCTTAACCCTGCTACAGTTCCTTGTCCTCATACCTTAAATACCTTTCGGCCTTCTGCCATTACTTCCTGGGATTAAAGGCGTGAGTCACCATGCTTGGCTGTTTCCATTGTAGCCTTGAACTCACAGAGATCCGGGTGGATCTCTGCCTCTGGAATGCTAGGATTAAAGGCATGTGCTACTACTGTGTAGTGGGTAGCCATTCCAGCTTTGATCTGAAAGTTCCAACCCCCATCGAAGCTTCGGTAACTGTCACGTCTACAAGACGGGGCCAAGAGAGGGCCCTGAAGACCCGAGATCCGGATGCGCTGCCCTTGCTTGGTTCCTGTACCCTGGACGCTAGAGGTAGACCAAGCAGTTCTCCAGAGAACACTGCCCGACTGCGCTATGTCTTCCCCAGACCCTGCAACCTACCTATCCCTTCATTTGTAATTTACACCACTAATAAACCTCTCTTTTAACTACATTGAGTGGCCTTAATAATTTCACCAATACTACTGCCTAACCTCTATGTTTAATATTGTGGCTGTTCTGTTCTCTGACCCCAGATAAGTTTATTAGAGTGTACAATATTTTGGGAAACACAATACCACCACAAAACCCAGGTTACTGGGGAGAAACAGAAGCTGGTTAAAACTGCACTTGTCACAACTTGCTGCTGTTTATCTACACACCGCCCCCCTTTTGTGTCAAATGCTTGTGAGTTGTAAGTCTTTGAAATTGTTTTAATTCTAGCAGAGTCGTTTTGGGGAGTGTATGCTATGGATACTGGCAGAAAGGTCAAGGCCCTGCTTTTGTGCTAGGATCTACTGGGTAAAAGCAGGCCCTGTGCCAGAAGCTTGGGCACTTTGTCTTGCCAGGATGTATGGCACAGTATCTCGGAAAAGTTCCCGGGCCTAGGGTCAGAAGATCAGAGGAGAGTCTTGTCTTCGTTGCTTATTAGACCATTTGATCTTGGAGAATCTCCTTCAAACTGAGTCTCCTCATTTTTGAGATAGCAGAGTTTCTGTGCTTCTCATCCTTTGGAGCAACATGAAAAGCAAGCACAGTGCTATGTATGACCTCAAGTTGTAACCCATAATCACCACACAAGGGTGCATTTGTTCAGGGTGCTCATCTCCAAGGCCTCTTTGAACTTTGCATTTCATGATTTCATACATGAGTGGAGCTTGGGCTCCCAGGTAGAAAGAGTGGGACAAAGGAAGAAGAGCTTATGCCTTCTGATTATTTGCCCTTTCTCCTGCTTTTATGAGATACTATTCGTAATAAGAACAAACAAAATAAGCCACAAGCCTTGCTTTCTTCTTTCTCCTAGAGAAATCTGACAGAATATTTTGTGGCTGTGGATGTGAACAACATGTTGCATCTGTACGCCAGCATGCTGTATGAGCGCCGGATCCTCCTCATCTGTAGCAAGCTCAGCACTGTGAGTAGACCGTCCCGAGACGGCTTTGCAGTCATCTAATTTTAATTGAGAGATGTATCGGCAAGATTAAAGAAAATTTTAGGAAAACGAATCAGCCACATTCCCCTCATATGGTAATATATCACCATCATTAATTATTCAAGTGCCTTTACAGTGTCAAAGCCCATTTCATTTATTCTTGCAGTCTCATGATCAATTATAAATAGTTTTCCTCTTGATTGTGCATTATGAACATTGTGCCTATCTCCACATAAGCTTATTTTTGTCATTTCTCTAAAATGTTGGCACCGTATTTCATTTTAGGGATGTAGTCATGGTTTACTGAAGTTTTCTTCTCTTGATGGTCATTTAGGTTTTTCATAAATAAATCCTCTAGTAGTTGATACTGCAGCAAACATCTTTGAGCTCCTTTTGATTGAACAGCCCACATGTATATGGGGGCTTTGTAAATAATAAATATGATAAGCAGTGGGGCCTCTGGTCAAAGGCTTTGATAAGCATCAGGAATTGGCGGCTGCCAGATTGTTTCCCCAGAAGGGCTGGGCCTCTGTACAGGGAATGTTGTCATTTGTATACAAGTGAGCCACTTTCCCTACAGCCTTTGCTAGAATTGTCTTGTCTTTTTATGTATTGTCAATGTGCTTATGCAACATTTTAATCTTACAATAAAAATAGTCATGAAATGATATGGTAAGTTTTAATTTTGATATCTTTGGTTAGAGGCAACTATTTTCTATGATTTTATTTCCTGTGTGTATTTTGTTAATATCTTTTCCCACTTAACTTGAAGAGTTTTTGATGATTTGTTCTATTTTGTTGGATTTTTAAAACTTGTGTGATCTGTGTGTTTGTTTGCATGCTTTGAAGTGAATGTGTATGTGTGGATGCCCATGCATGTGTGTGCACGTGCATGTAGAGGCCCAAGGTGGTTGCTAGGTGGTATCCTCTACCTCATATGTTGAGGCAATGTCTCTTATTGAACCTGGCACTTGATGTTTCAGCCATCTTGTTTAGCCAGGGACTCCCTGTCTTATCTTCCTCCCTACTGAGATGACTGGAGAGCTCCTACCCCACCCAGCTTTTCTGTGTGGGTTTAGGAGATCTGGACTCCAATCCTCACACTAACATGGCAGGTGCTTTACCCACCAGCTCATATCTCAAACACTGTTTTTGTCTGTTTGAGATAGGATTGTTGCTTTATAATACAAACTGGCCTTGATGTATGTATGTATGTATGTATGTATGTATGTATGTATGTATGTATGTATGTAACCAGACTGGCCGCAAATTCATTGGCTGGCAATCCTCCTACTTCAGCCTGAGAGTCAAGTATGGGCACTATGCCTAGCCTGAGGTTTTTCTTATAAGTTAGAGTGAATCCTTTGTGTATTAATAATAACTTTTATTGTGTGTTTTACATAATTTTTTCTTATTTACATTTTAATTTTTTCATCTGATAAGTATGGTTTTTGTTTTTTTGTTTTTGTATTTCTTGGTTTTTTGAGACAGGGTCTCTCTGTAGCTTCGGAGCCTGTCCTGGACTAGCTCTGTAGACCAGGCTGGCCTCAAACTCACAGAGATCCACCTGCCTCTGCCTCCCGAGTGCTGGGATTAAAGGTGTGTGCCACCACCACCCGGCTAAATAAGGCTAATTGATCTTATTATGAAAGTTCTCAAGTAAGCATTCCAGAAAATTGAAATCACTTCATAGTAAATACTGATATGATTTCATCTAGTCACTGGTGTAAATTCGTGTTTATGTGTGTTCACATACACCTGTGTTTAGAGTCCAGAGAATATCCTTGGGTCTCTATTTTAAGCTCTGTCCACTTTTTTTTTTTTTTTTTTTTGAGACAGAATCTTTTCAGAATCACAGGCTGTTTCTAAAATGAATATGGAAAAGCCAAAAGAAAGAACCAAATACATACTTGAAGAAAATGAATGGATTTTGATAGCTTGCTTTAGTAAAACTTTCTGTAAAGCTGTATCCACTGATCTGCTGTGGTAGTGGTTGCATTGTGAGAATGTAGGCATGGTAATGGCACAGAATAGAGGCCCAGAAACAGCCCACATGTATACAAAGACTATAAGTAACAAAGGAGGCTGTCTGTCAAAATTAAACAGACATTTTAGTATTAGCTGTCTACCTGGGGAAGGAAAAGGAGACAGTGTCTGTTTCATTTGTGCAAGAATAAATTCCAAATGAATTGATATTTAAATGTGAATGAACTCAGCATGCCGAGGAAGCCCTCCATTGATGAGATGTACCCTAACCCCCTTCAGTCCTCAACTGGATTAGGGTCCAGCCGTCTCGTCAACAGAGTATCAAGTACTGGATATCATGTTAGAGGCCATGTGGCCATCATTGCAGCTGGACTCTAACTTTCTCATTGACTTCCAACAGCAGGCCATACTGGGTCTTATCACTGTAGGTTACTGATCCCTGGGTTAGGTGGCAGATTTTGGTGTCTTAAGTTGTTTTCTTTAAAATTTGATTTACGGTGTCCTTATTTTTATATATGGATCTATTTCAAAAAGTGTTTGTAAAAAGAAGAAGAGGAGGA